AGGAGAGACATCTGAGAAGCAGAAGACTTAAAACTCCACTTGTTCTCCATTTAATCTCATTGCTACTATATCTAAGAGTTGAACATTTTTAAAGGAGAGCCAAATGAATAAAACACAATTTTTTTTCTTCTGCTCACCGAGGGTCAAAAACAGAAGCAATCGTGAAATATTATTACAATTTAAAATAGCTGGTCTCTATGTGAATATCTGTTAAAGTGTAATTTATTTCTGTAATAAAAGCTGAATTTTCAGCATCATTACTCAAGTCTTCAGTCACATGATTCTTCAGAAATCATACCCTTAATTTAAGAATAAAACACATTTGAACTTTTTTCAGTCAATAATTAAAACATGAGATAAAAATACTGTTAATCAGCCCATTGTGAGACATTTAACAATGAATGTCTATAATGCGGACAATGAAAAATTTGTTCTCATAATTTTACCTTCTTTAAAACGGGTTTAAACAGTGTGCAGTTGTTATTTTGTAATGTTTGTGTTTCCATGACCAATCATTTCACAGATCAGGATCACTGAAGGAGCCAATCAGATTTCGTCTGGCTCCTGATGCACCGCCCCTAACCCCGCCTCCTCTGTGATCTTCATTTCTTTTCTCTTTGTGTTTTGTAATGTTTGACAGGCCTTGACGCTCTACAGAAGCCCATCTAGAGTCGCTGTGAACTCTGAACATCTTTCCCAACAGCTAGTTTAAATATGTAGTGCTTTCTCAACATGACGTGCTGTTTTAGTGAAGTCAGGCCCTCAGAAGTGTCATTAAAACGCTGCTGGATGCTCACTAATGAGAGGCGTTCAGCTCTGCTCTCCGCAGAGTCTGCTGTTTGTTAGTTTCGGTTAATCCGCTCGTTTGCTCCATTAATCGCCTTCCTCCTGTGGGACGTTCTGGAAGAGGAAAGGATATGTAAATAGTGTCGTGTGCTGCCACCTTTAGGTCTGGATGAATGGATTCTCCTGTAGATGTTCTGCTGGTGAAATATTAGGTGTGACTGGTGAAGTTTGTCAGGAGTTTAGCTCTCTACAAAGCCCGTAAAATCAGTGCAGACACGAGAAAAACATCTAGATGACAAACAGGTTTTAATTTGAGAAGCTTTACAGCAGTAATTGATCGACCCTGTGAGTCATGGCAGCTGGAGACGCATAACATGAAGCCAGGTCTCTTAGGAATTTCTCCTGTTTATTATGAGTTAAAGGAATTAAAGGAACACTAATAAAGCAGATACTATTAACTCCCTTATTATGTTGAAATCTGGGTACTACTATTGTCTTGGGGTCAAATTGAACCCCATTGGTTTCAATGCAATTCACACAAAATCGACACTATATATATATATATATATATATAAATCCAAGATTTGTCATTTGCACTTTTGATTTCATGGGGACTTTAAGGACTGAATTAACTACATGTACTTACTATATGGTTAGGGTTAGGATGAGGGTTTGGTTTAGGGTTACTTGCATGTATACATGTAACATGTGTAACAAGGACACCTTAAAATAAAGTATTACCTTATTTTGTAATTAAATGACGTCACAGTCTTGTGAAAAGGGTCCATTGTGTGTTTTTTAGGGCAGTTTTCTCGGCAGTGTGAGATTTAAGGACACTGCATTTGTGCATTGAACGTTTTGTGAACCTGAGAAAACACACAGGATTTCTCCAACAAAAATAGTGTACCGAATATTTCCGTCTCTTCATGAACTGAAATTTCTGTTTGGAAGTGTATTTGATTTATTGCAGGCTTTTAAGGCTAGTCAGCACTTTATTAATGCAGTGATTTAGATATGATTGCATTAGCTTATGTGTTACTCGCGCTGATTTAATCTAGTAGCACAAAAGTGACTCAAATGATCTCATTGTTACAGAACCACAAAGTGCACAAAAATTCCAATTCAATTCACACAAAATCGACACTATATATATATATATATATATATATATATATAAATCCAAGACTTGTCATTTGCACTTATATATTGTTGCTATTTTGTTAGTTTTGATTGCTTAATGTTATATATATATAACATAAAGAAACAGAAAACCTCTATTTTAGCTTGTCAAAAAATATGAAGTATGAAAAAATATGAACTCCTGTTATGTTAAAAAAAATTACATCCTTCATGTTAAGGGTCAATTTGAACACAAATAAATAATATTTAAATAAATGTATTTATTAATGTATAAATAATCAATTTATTTGTAAATAAATAAATGGGTTAAAAACAGTTAGACCCTTCATGTTAATTGAATAAATAAATAAATAAATAAAATTGTCAGCCACAACAAATAAATAAATGTTGTGTTAAAAATAGTTACACCCTTCATGTTAAAAATCAGTTTGAAATAAATACATAAATAAATAAATAAATGTTGTGTTAAAAATAGTTACACCCTTCATGTTAAAAATCAGTTTGAAATAAATACATAAATAAATAAATAAATGTTGTGTTAAAAATAGTTACACCCTTCATGTTAAAAATCAGTTTGAAATAAATACATAAATAAATAAATAAATGTTGTGTTAAAAATAGTTACACCCTTCATGTTAAAAGTCAGTTTGAAATAAATAAATAAATAAATTTGACAGCCATAATAAATACATAATATATATAAAAAAATGTGTAAATAAATTTACAAATATATAAACCCTTCAAGTTTAGGGTCAATTTGACCCACATATTTTTGTTTAAAAGTAGCTGCGCAGACATAACATAAAGACATTTCCTTCATGTTTTTTTTTGTTTTTTTTGTGACTGCTTGTAGTGACAGTTTGCACACTGCAAGTGACTACAACTAAATATAAATAGTATCTAACATTAATTGTACTTGGTGTAAATAGTATTTATTGCTATTTGTATGTGGTGTAAATAGCCACTGCCCTTTTCTTATGTCTGTTTTCAAAACCTTGTGAGGATAAAATGGGTTTCTTATGCTTATATTCAGTGCAGAAACAGACTAGTAATTGAGATCCAAAAAACAAACAAACAAAACCAGTTTTTGACTGAGAAACTCAAATAGCAGAAGAAACAGCGAATTCTACCTGGATGATTAAGAAGATGAGTTTTCATACATTTCATTCAGTTTCATTCTTTGACAAGCTACAATAAAGGTTTTTAGTTTTTTACCTGGCTTTTTTGCTGTTTTTCAAAGTGTTGATTTGAGGTGAATTGTATAGAAACCAATGGAGGTCGATTTGAACACCATTGATGTAACCAAGTTTGTACAGCCTTTCCCAAACACATCTGTGCGTTGAAACTTCGCATGCACATTCTTGACCAAAAATGAGAAAAAGAAACCAAATTTTAAGAAGAAATAAATAGTTTAAATTAGACATCCAAATGTCTAAAACACTATATGCATGACACAAGCATTATGCATTTGTTTGCATTATGATCAATCGACTGATGGCACTTTTAAGGCCTTAAACTCTTATGAAAGATGGCATGCAAACTCTTTTCCTTCAAGCTCTGGAAAACAGAAAAGTTTAACTGCTGAACAGAAGTGTTTCTGGAGTCACACACCATTAGAGCCGGAGAGAAGCCATTTATCAGCAGTAATGACCGTCACACTTGAGCCTTAAATATTTCACATGAACCACATTTAATCAATCCAGAAACCCAGAGAACTGTGATTTATAACCAGATGAGTGATTTGAAATACATATTAAGGGTATTTTTGTTCTTGAAAAGCTCCTGAAACATTCAGTTGTTGCTTCTGGCTTTACAAACAGGAGAGAAGAAGCGTCCGATCTTCCAAGAAAGATGGCTTATGAAAGGTCAGAATGTCTTGTGACATTTTTCCTGCGTGTTTCTGATGGTCTGCAGATGTCTAGTGTTTGACTCCGTCCTCCTTCAGATTCCTGTCACTCCCTTCAGACACGGGAAACACAGGGACACAATTTCAGGAAGTTTGTTTTGGCCTCAGAGGAAAGTCAGGAGTCACAATCTGATTCCGCGTCATGTATTTTTAGTGCACTTGGTCTGAGACAGTCGGTCAGAGTTGAACGCATTGAGCTTTGTATAGAAGACCAGTTCCACCACAACATTTAACAAAAATATATAATTGCAAAATTACCTTTTTTAATTTTTATTCTGTGGTGGAAACAAAAAACAGAACTGTGAAATATAAACTCAGAATTTTAAGGGAAAAAAGTCAGAATTGCTAAATTAAAACTCACTATTCTGAGAAAAAAGTCAGAATTGTGAGATATAGACTGACTCAGAGTTGCGTGATATAAAATCAGAATTGTGAGAAATAAACTCGCAATTGCAGGTAAGAAGTCACATTTGCCTTGTTTTTTTTAAAATTCCGAAACAAAGTCAGAATTGTGAGATATGAACTTAGAATTGCGAGGAAACCGTGGCAATTAGATTTTTTATTTATTTAATATTTGTGCCAAACACAGGTTTCAATAGGTTTGATGTGTTTCTGTATGTTTGGAAGTGTGGATTTCATAACTTGCTAGTTATAGATCAAATATCTCTCTCCTTCTTAACAGTTTTTTTCATCTGTTTTACAAATACTACTAATGAATTCATTAAAATAAATTTTAAAAAGTTTGGGGTTGGTAAGATTTTTTTTATTTAATATTTTTGAAAGAAGTGTCTTCTGCTCACCAGGGCTGCATTTATTTGATCAAAAATACAGTAAAATTGTGAAATATTATTACAATTTAAAATATCTGTTTTCTATCTGAATATCTGTTAAAATGTAATTTATTTCTGTGATGCGCAGCTGTATTTTCAGCATCATTACTCCAGTCTTCAGTGTCACATGATCTTCAGAAATCATTCTAATATGCTGATTTGCTGCTCAAGAAACATTTCTGATTATTATCAATGTTGAAAACAGTTGTGCTGCATAATATTTTTGTGGAAACCGTGATACATTTTATTTTTCAGGATTCACAGATGAATAGAAAGTTCAAAAGAACAGCGTTTGTTTGAAATAGAAATCTCTCTTCTCTTTCTCTGTCTGTCTTCAGGGATCTCAGCAGTAATCTCATTAGCAGAATTGCCCCCGGCGCGTTTCATGGCCTGACGGCTCTGAGGAGACTGTAAGTATGATTATGACCTTGGAAATGTGCGTGAAAACCCAATCAGATGCTGCAATGCCTCTAGAAATGTTTCTACAGCTAAATAAAAATTCTGAACATTTCAAAACATGTTGTACGGTCTTCAGACTACAGAGCGTGAACACAAATAAAAACGGGAACTTTTGAAAGCAGCTGCCTATCAGCGGGTATCGAATTGAGTCGAAATAGTTTGGAGTTCGTCTGCAACATCTCCACATCTTACAAGATCAGATATTTGTCAGTGAGCTCAGGATCTGTTGAGCAGCAAATCCTCCAGCATTGTCTCTTCACCAGTGATCAGTCAAATCGGACTCCTGCAGCCGGGTCCCCACACTTTTTTTTTGACCCACCACCAATATTTCCACTCGTGTTTTCTGATTTGTTACTTAGATTTGAGTGAACTAACATTGAGCCACAAGGCGAATCATCTCTTGGGCGCGTCTGCCATAAGCTTAAAATCTCCTGCTGCCCTCGCGATTTCTTTCATTCATTCACTTCTTTGCTCTTTGGTGGTCTGGGGTAAAATGCACCTCAGAAAAAAGCAGAGGACGATTATGTTCGTTTTTCAAACACACAGTTTAAGTATGTGTTATGTGGCGATGACACGAATCATGCGATCGAGTTTCCATGTCATGATTTAACTTACTGTAATGAGCGATGCGACGCAACAAAATACAATACTGTAACGCTGTAGCCCATGGGCCTCTGGTTATCTTAAGGTGCCCCTGCTGGTAGGAAACCTTTGAGCTGTTTTTATGATCAATGTGCATAACAGTGACTGTAAAATATGTATTTTAGGTATGGAATTAAGTAGGCCTAAATTTAACAGCAGAACCAGAAATGTAGCTATCACCAGATCCGAAAGCACCACCGAATAGCGAATTGAAAAAAAGTGTTTTTAATCGTTCAGTGTTTTTAAACTTCTACATCTTGAATATTAGCTCACATCTTTAAGCAGCACTCTTGAGAATGAGAGCTGCAGCCGATCTAAGGTTCATTCTGCAGGGAAGAGGCTTTCAGCATTTCGACGTACAGACACAGGAGCCATGCAGACCTTTAATGTGACACTGATTGCTGGATTTGAGCGGCTGATTGTGGATGTGCGTGTGCCAGGCTGCTGGACACGTATAATTTAAGCGGCAGGTCTCAGCGCTAATTTAAGAGTTCCCAACCCATGATTACAGCATTGAACCGAACCGAGCCGCTCCCACTGCACCACAGCAGCTCAGTTTCTCATTACAACACACACACACACACACGTTTGTTTCTGTGAATTGTGGGGACTTTCCATAGACTTCTATTACTTTTATACTGACCAAACGATATTTTCCATCCCCTAACCCTAAACCTACCCCTTACAGAAAACCTTTTGCATTCTTACACTTTCAGATAAACATCATTTACTATTTTTAATAATGCTTTACACACACACACACACACACAATGCCGGTTTTTAAGTACATGGTTTGTTCGGAGATTCAGTGCTGTGGTTGGCAAACGCTCTTTTATAGGCTGGTTGCGGCTTCAGTCTGAATGAGGAGTAATTGGAGAGTTACTAAGATTAAAGCACTTAACCCTTATTTTCCTCAAAGATCTCGTTACCAAAATGAACGGCTCTGAACGGTGAAATGCGCCTGGTAAAATTAACCGGTTCATTTATGGATGCCAGTCCAGTAGAAACAGGGTTGATCTTTCATTGTTCAAGTGATTTAATGACTTCGATATTTCTCTTTATAATTCTACAGGAGAAATAAAAATAAACAGAAGTGAGTTGATAGTTCATATAGTCAGATAAAATAAAATAATAAAAATGACAAAAGCACATGAATTATTACTAAAATTACTAAAACTTAAATCGCTAAACAATGTTATTTTAGTATCATATGACATACTATTATAGTTAATGTTTTAAATGAGATTTTATTTGTATTTTCTGTTTTCACTTTCATTTTAGTTAAGCTTTAGTAATTCAGGAGTTTTTGGCAGCTGCTGCTCACACATTCACACACATCTTCACATATAGCCTATATTGATATAAAATTACATATATAAAATTAAAGTGAAAACATAAAACCAAATTCAAAATATTAACAAAATCTATAATAACCATACTACAATTTAAGTTTTAGTAATTGTTATGTGCTTTTTTTAATATCTTTAATTTATTTATTTTAAATAGCTTTAATTTGTTTAAATTTCAGTTTTAGTTTTAGCAATTTTAGTATTTCAACATATACTTATTGAGTTGCCAAGGCAACGTTTCTAATTTCTTTTAATCTAACATTTATATACTTTATTTCAATTAACAACAAAAAAAATAAAATAAAAATGAAGAGTAGTCAGTCATCTGAGTAAATTATTCAGTCACGTGACAGTCAGGAATAAATGTTTTTTATATCAAATGCTAAAGCAATCGTGGACTTTTTTTGTGCCTTTTTTCGAAGCTAGTTTGAAGGTTTTGGTGTTTGATGTCAGATTATTTATCTCAGCTGACAGACTGTGTGTGTGTGTGTGTGTGTGTGTGTGTGTGTGTGTGTGTGTGTGTGTGTGTGTGTGTGTGTGTTTCCTCAGGGATCTTTCCAACAACAGGATTGGCTGTTTCTCTGCTGATATGTTTCTTGACCTTGGCTGTCTCTCCAAACTGTGAGTCTCTCTCTGTGTTTATATATCTTTATTGAGCACAGGGAACTGTCTTAAGTGTGGTATAGGTTTGTGTGTAACGTCTGTGTGTGTGTTTTTCAGGAATTTGTCTGGGAATATCTTTTCCACGCTGCCAGAGGGTTTGTTCACACATGTCCCGTCTCTCAGAGCGCTGTAAGATCTCTGCACTGTTTTCTACTGTTTAAATTGGTCATAATATGAGGAACACAGTACTGTGAAAAGCTACTGGACATATCAGAGCTCAAAAACTTACTTTCCAGTCCAAAACGAGCATTTATTGAAGCTACTTTATTAACTTACTTATTTTATTGAACTTTACACTCTAAAAAATGCTGGGTTAAATACAACCCAGTGCTGGGTAAAATAGGGACAAACCCAGCAATTGGGCTGTTTTGACCCAGCGGTTGGGTTAAATGTTTAACCCAACCTTCTGGGTAGTAACCCAACCGCTGGGTCAAAACAACCCAATTGCTGGGTTTGTCCCTATTTTACCCAGCACTGGGTTGTATTTAACCCAGCATTTTTTAGAGTGTATGAAGTCACACAAATTAATTGGTTCACACAAGCACACCTACACACATATAAGGTAGCAGAATTGTTTAAAACATACGAGCACAGTTCAGTTGAATAATAAAGTTAACTTTATGTTGTTCTGCTGTTTTGTGTTCATCTGCTTCTCCCATTTGCTCTTTTTACATCGACTATCACTCTATACAGACTAATACAATCACATGCAACAATCATTTCTCAAATATTTATTACAATATATAGTGATAAACTGAACATTTACTTCAATGGTCTGAGAGACTGGATGCTTTCAACTGATTTCTACTGAACTGTCAGCAACTGAACTGCAGCTCAAACTATTTCAATTATAGTGAATTAAGCTACAAACTCCATCATAATGCACAATGTTTCCATCTAACATGTATTTTGAGCTGCAGCTCGTTATTAATAGCCACCAATGCTGTAATTAATTAGCCATCTTCAAGAATGGGCTAAAAACACATTTCTTCCATTTTTATTTGACTCTCTAACTCTAGCACTCTCTATTCTAATTGTATTTTATCTACTCGTTTTCTATTTATTTATTTGTATAAACAAAACACTTGATCCTTTAACTCTTGCACTCTTTACAATACTTGCTTTCTTTTTATTAAAAAAATATATGTTTATATTACTCCAATACTAACATTCACAATACTTTTTCTATTCTTCTGACTTTTCTTTCTTGGTAAAAAAAGAGACCCTCTAACACTAATGTTCTCTATAAGTTTTCTATTCTATCTACTTGTTTTCTTTTTATGTATTATAAAAAACATCAATAACAACAACAAAACCTTGCTATGTGTACTTTTGATCGGAACTTTGGTGCGGGTTCGCCAATCATTTAATTTAGATTGGAACTTCGGAGCGGGTTCTTGAATAATTTAATTTAGATTGGAACTTCAGAGCGGGTTCGCGAATAATTTAATTTGGAACGGAACTTCGGAGCGGGTTCACGAATCATTTATTTTGGTCGAAACTTCGGAGCGGGTTCGCAAATATTTTAATTTAGATTGGAACTTTGGAGCGGGTTCGCGAATAATTTAATTTAGATTGGAACTTCGGAGCGGGTTCGCAAATCATTTAATTTAGATCAGAACTTCAGAGTGGGTTCGCGAATAATTTAATTTGGATCGGAACTTTGGAGCGGGTTCGCGAATAATTTAATTTGGATCGGAACTTCGGAGCGGGTTCACGAATAATTTAATTTAGATTGGAACTTCGGAGCGGGTTCGCAAATCATTTAATTTAGATCAGAACTTCAGAGCGGGTTCGCGAATAATTTAATTTAGATTGGAACTTCGGAGCGGGTTCGCAAATCATTTAATTTAGATCAGAACTTCAGAGCGGGTTCGCGAATAATTTAATTTAGATTGGAACTTCGGAGCGGGTTCGCAAATCATTTAATTTAGATCAGAACTTCAGAGCGGGTTCGCGAATAATTTAATTTGGAACGGAACTTCGGAGCGGGTTCACGAATCATTTATTTTGTTCAAAACTTCGTAGCGGGTTCGCAAATAATTTAATTTAGATTTGAACTTCGGAGCGGGTTCGCGAATCATTTAATTTAGATTGGAACTTTGGAGCGGGTTCGCAAATAATTTAATTTAGATCAGAACTTTGGAGCGGATTCGCAAATAATTTAATTTAGATCGGAACTTCGGAGCGGGTTCACGAATAATTTAATTTAGATCTGAACTTCGGAGCGGGTTCGCAAATCATTTAATTTAGATCTGAACGTTGGAGCGGGTTTGCAAATAATTTAACTTAGATCTGAACTTCGGAGCTGGTTCGCGAATAATTTAATTTAGATCTGAACTTTGGAGCTGGTTCGCGAATAATTTAATTTAGATCTGAACTTCGGAGCTGGTTCACGAATCATTTAATTTAGATCAGCACTTCTGAGCGGGTTCGCCAATCATTTCGCCAATTGAATGATTCACAGTCTGTACTCCGAGTTCTGATCTGAAATGATGGTTCGCAAATCATTGTTCAGATCGGGACTTCGTAGTGCGGATCGCGAATTATTTTAATTTAGATCAGAACTTCGTGTATTGTGAATAATTTGATCGGATCTTTGGAGCTGGTTCACAAATAATTTGATTCAGATCAGAACTTCCAATTGGGTTTGCAAATCATTTCGTGGATTGCATGAATCGTGATCTGATTTTATATTTTTTTTGTTTTCACTTCAGCTTTAGTTAAAGTTATAGATATTTTCAGGGTTTTGTTAATAATTTGAATTGAATTTTATATGTTTTCACTTTCATTTTATTTAAAGTTGTAGTAATTTTGTTTTTAACTATTACATTAATTCAGAATCTGTTGTCTCGAAACCACAAGTAAATTATTACATTTACTTTGTTTATTTGGACACATGGAATGGAAACACTGCTGTATTCGTAATTGTTTTTATGATATTGGATTTTTTATTTATTATTTTTTTGCATAAATTGCATTTCTATTGCATACGATGCCTAACTAGAGTGATCAGAAACTTGGTCAGTCCAGTCAGAGTAATGCAGAGGAACTAGATGGATGCTATTATTCATAAACAGCAGAATAATTAATGAGAATAAAAGTAATGCAGCTCTACAGAAGACAGTACACTCTAAAAAATGCTGGGTTAAAAACAACCCAACTTGGGTTATTTGGCAACCCGGCGCTGGGTAAATACTGGACAGAACACATGCTGGGTTATTTTGACCCAGCTGGTTGGGTTAAATGTTTTTAACCAACATGCTGGGTTGTTTTATTTAAGTCAACTATTGTTTAAAAATATTATATTGCTGGTTTAAAACGGGCTGGAAATTACAAATCACACACAGAATTACTAGAGGCAACAGCAATAATCAAAAGATGAACATTTATTACTAAGCAAGAACACCCATGGAAAAAATACAAGACAAATTGAATTTATTTGGGTGAATACAGCATAGTTTACAATATCACATACATTTTAACTCGTTTAACAAGGATTTTAGAAATAACAAATTTAACATTTAAAAGTAGCATTTTAATTTGTGTATTCAACTGTTCTCCGTAATCAATTTTCACCAAAATAGCGCTAAATCTTGTGCCGATGTGTCGCCGAAATCTGAGCAGGAACTGCGAACTTAAGACCGCCACCTCGCGTTTCACTCGTAGCTGAAAGATGCCATGATGACTGACTCCAAAACCTGCCCATAAACAAACAGTACTGAGGTTAGAGAACATATTTTAACATCAAATTAAATTTAACTCAGTATTATAACGAATAAAATCCATTTATGTTATGCAAGGCAAAAGGCGTTTCCAGCGCGAAACAACCACTGCTGACGCAGCTGACATCTCGTCCTTATGTTGCGTTGCGCAAAATAATATAATTTACAGCACAGTAAAGACTTTATAAATGAAATAAAATGTATACAAACATATATTTTGCTGAAGAAGTGCACCAAATCGCCGGCGTTGAGATCCGCTCTCTCCTGTAGAGGACTCAATAAGCTCTGACTGTAACTCAGCAGCTGGGTTGTTTCATCGGAGACGAGCTCAACTCAGTGGTTGGGTAGAAAAAAATAACCCAGCATTAAAAATGACCCAGCAACTTAGTTACAGAAAACTACCCAGCACCTGGGTAAAAAATTGAAAACAACCCAATAACATGACCCAACAAGCTGAACCCAGCATTTTTTAGAGTGTAGAGGGGTTTTTCAGATGTTGTTCTCCTGCAGGATGATATGAGTGAATGTGAGTGATGGAGGTGCTGTGGCTGTGTGTTTTTCAGGCACGTGGGCACAGACTATCTGTTCTGTGATTGTCAGCTGCGCTGGTTGTTGTCGTGGATCAGATCTCAGGCGGTGCGTGTGGGGAATGAATCTGTATGCGTGTATCCGACTCGTCTTCATGGACTGGAGCTGCGCAGCCTTCAGGAGCAGCAGCTCACCTGCGGTAAGACTTCACTGATGTTCACCAGCCCTCGTGGAAAAACATCAAGCAAATATCTGTTTTTGCTATCTCCAGAGATAAAAAAAAAAGAGAATTCAGTAAGAATGAATGATTTCCACTGATGCCGTTGTGTTTGCATGGGTTGTGTGTGTATTTTAGCATCCAATTCACTCTAATTCATTAAAGGAAATCAGGATATGCACAATTCATAATAAGCCTCATTTGCATAGCAGGAGTTTGCATTGACAAATGGACAAAAATAACCCTAAAATAATTTTCCCAGTTAAAGTCTCCTCTGAAGTGAAAATAAATGTCAATAAAACAGCCTTGTTTATATAGAATGCAGATAAAATCATAAAAAAGTTATTTATTTGAATTTTACTGTTGCAGTACTGTTACTGTTTAGAATAAAAACTATTGCACAAACATACCCCCATTTTTCTGTAAAAATGTATTTAGTAAGAACAAGTTACGCACACTGATGCCATTATATTCGCATGTGCTGTGTGCATTATTTTAAGGAATTTTTTATTATTATTATTTTGCTGTTGCAACCCTTTATTTTGTCCCACATTTTGCACTATTACAATTAAAAAAAGATGTGTTATTGCACAAACATGCCCACATTTTTGAGTGAGAATATATTCAGTAAGAATGAATTATGCCCACTGATGAATTTGTACTTGCATGTGTGAAAATCAGGTGACGCACAAACACATCAACATTTAAACGGTTAAACAGTTGAAGTGTTGCAAATACTACATGCATCTCCTGAAAGTGAAAATGAGTGTTAATAGAACGGCCTTGTTTACATAGCATGCAAATGTATTTATTTTTAAATTAAATTAAATAATAACAAAAAATATTATTTTACTTTTGCAAACCTTTTCACAGTTTGCATTTTTGGAATACAAAAAAAACAAACATTGTTGCACAAACACGCCCACATTTTTTTGTCAATTCCGTTCAGTTCATAATAAGCCTCATTTGCATAGTTGCATTTGCATTGATGATTAGAAAAAAAAATGTTTTGGGTGTTTTTAGACGAGCCTTGTGTCATTATAAAATATCATTATAAAATATATCACCAACTGCACATTAGCTGTAGATACATGTAAATATTTCTAGAAAAACATGGATTGATGTTTGATCATATTGCTGTAGCTGCTGTTCTGTGCTTTATATTCAGTGTGCCGGCTCTTCTTAAGTGCTCTTAAGTAAGTTCTGTATCTCATGGCCTCTGGTGGCTTATTGCCGTATTTAATGTCAGCAGAAGAACTCATAATGCTGTAAAGTGCACATGTGGTTTGTGTGTGTTATACGGAGGTGAATTGGCAGAGTGATTTGTGGCACAGCTGGATCGTCTTTTATAGCATTACAGTGGTTATTTTCACAGCTTTAACTTCAGTAGCTCACTAAAACTCACTCCTCCAGTGGGTACGCCGTCTTGAGGCTCCGCTCAATGATGTTTGGGAGTCATTTCTGCATATCTGTGTGTTTGGATGAACTGCGTGTGAAGTATTGTCTGAATACGACAGCCTGAAAAGACTTAGGCAGTGTATAGTGCAAGAAACTAGTGATTCTTGTAGAGTTTGACATCAACATGTTAAAAACACTATTTTTCTCCAGTATCAAACTACTTGAACATGTCAAAACGCTTCTGTGCTTGCATGCGAAGTAGGATTCATTTTAGTGAATCAGTTAATTCAGATGATTCAGTTCAGTGAACTGGTTTGAAAAAAGATTTGTTTGCATTTTATCAGTTCTGTTTAGTGTTTATGAATCTGTTCAAGTGTAATGCCGCCGCTTTTATTGTTTCTGTGCCACTTAAACACTGCTGATCACAACAATCATGTATATTATCTGGTAGTTTTAGATATTTGTGACCCTGGAGCACAAAAGCAGTGTTAAGTCGCTGGGGTATATTTGTAGCAATAGCCAACAATACATTGTATGGGTCAAAATTATCCATTTTTCTTTTATGCCAAAAATCATTAGGATATTAAGTAAAGATCATGTTCCATGAAATCCCGCCTTTTGCCGAACTTTTTTTTCTCCATTTAAAGGCATTTATTTTCAATAAAAATTAAGGAAATAATCAAAAAGTTGAAAATAAAGTATCGGGTAGGGTTAGGGAGGGCTTTATTGTACCAATAAGGTGGCATCCATTTAATAATTAAAATTAAAATTATAATTTACACTCAATATGTTAGGTGGAAGTCGTGGCCTAATGGTTAGAGAGTTGGACTCGTCACCCAAAGGTTGCGGGTTTGAGTCTCGTACCGGCAGGGATTGTAGGTGGGGGGAGTGAATGTACAGCGCTCTCTTCCATCTTCAATACCACGACTGAGGTGCCCTTGAGCAAGGCACCGAACCCCCAACTGCTCCGGGTGTGTGTTCACGGTGTGTGTGTGTTCACTGCTGTGTGTGTGCACTTTGGATGGGTTAAATGCAGAGCACTAATTCTGACTATGGGTCGCCACATGTCACGTCACACTTTTTCACTTTTTTTTCACTTATTATTGCATACTGTTTTATAATGTACTACAATACTGAAGTGCAGATAATTGCCACTATTTGCAACAAGTAGTATACTTGATAGTAGAAATCCTGCTATTTTAACATAGTGTAAATAGAATCCATTGTTATTTTGTTTTTTAGACTTGCATTTGCGTATGTAATTTGTTATTTTGTTTTCAGAATTGTGATCTGCTTTGCACCTCTCGGCCACCGTAGCTTTCAGATGATGTATAAATCTCAATTTCAAAAAAGTGACCCTTATGACTGGTTTTGTGCTCCAGGGTCACATTTATATGTAAATAACTATTTTGACTTAGATTTCATTTTATATTCATTGTAATTTTAGTTTAATTGAGTAATTTTAGTTTTAGTCATTTTATTGTGTAATTGTCATTTTTGTTGGTCTTAATTTTATATATACATTTTAATTTTTTTTGTTTTAGTTCGTTTAGTTTTAGTTGCTTTATTTTTTTTTTACTTTTTTTAATTTACTATTTATTTTTGTTTTAATTATATTTTTAGTCATTTTTGTGCTTTTAGCATTTTTATGAGTTTAGCTTTTAATATTTTGTTAATTTATCTTTAAAATATTTTTATTTTAGTTGTAATTTTAATATTGTTTTGTATTACAACTTAAACTTACTTATTTTAGTTATATTTTATTTAGTTTTATTTCAGATTTATGTCCAGTAAAGAAAATAATTAGTTATATTTTCAGTTGATAACGATGCACCAGTCTTAGATCAGCTCTCCTCCGACTCTCTGGGTCTTCTGCACACTTTTGTCTGGTTTATTTGCTGTTCTCTGCTGTGTGCTGACGAGCACGTAATGACACTCGTCTCTCATCTCTTATACGCGGCCCCGGGGTCCCACCGGTTCATTTACTGCTGGTGTGTCTGCGGTCTGGAGCCGGTGTGAGCTGATCAGGGGCCTGAACGTCCCCCACAGGCTTTCATTAGACAGAGAACGTCTGAAGAAGGTATGAAAGATGTGGATAAGTCAGAGGGGGACACGCCGGTTAAAGAGCTGCGAATACTGCATGCATCTCCTCTGGAGTGGAAAAATAATCACATATAACAGCCTTGTTAATATAGAATGCAAAAAGGTTATTTTGTGTAAGTTAAATAAAATAATCATAATAGATAAACGCAATTTAATTATTTTCATTTTACTGTTAAAAACTTTTTTTTTCATCTCAATTAACACGAGCTCATTAAAGCTGCGTGCATATTTATTACAAAAGAAATGCTGTTGAAATGCTTGCTTTTTTCATTTTTATTTTAAAATTATTTTATGTTTCAGTTTTCATATGAATTTTAGTTTTGGTAAGTTTGTTATGTGCTTTCGTTTATTATGTTAAAAATCCTGCAAATACTTCATGCATTTCATCTGAAATTAAAAAAAAAAAAAAAGTTAATAGACCAGCCTTGTTTTTATAGAATGCGGAAAGATTTTTATTTTTATTTTTTTATAAATTAAATAATATAATAATAAAAGCAATTTAGTCATTGTCAGTGTTGGGGAAAGTTACTTTTAAAAGTAATGCATTACAATTCATTTTAATGTTACATTAAACATTATTTTTCATCTCATTAAAGCTACATGCACATATTGCAAAAGAAATGCTGTTGAAATGCTCGTTTTTATATGTATTTATTAGCTATTATTTTTATTTTATTTTAATTTCCAGTTTTCATTTTAATTTTAGATCTAGTCTTTTTTGCACTTTTTATTATGGTAAAATTTTAATAGAATATTTTTTATAAATGAATAAAAAACAAAGAAACAAAGAAAAACAAAATGTATTTTCTTTTCATTTTACTGTTGTTGTTTTTTTTTTTAATTATGTGCATATGCTGGAAAATACAGTTTTAGAGTAGCTTCACCAGTCCAGTGTTATTTTAATATTTTTTATAGACTATTAAAAAAAGACAAAAAACAAACAAACATGCAAAACATTGTTTACCGTCTTTATGAATCTTTTTTTTTTTCACGTTCAAGTTTTAAAAAAGTACTTTTTAAAACACTTTTGAGGATATTTCTGTACAAGGTTTTGTCAGATTTCAGTAACTTCTTCCAATGATAACTTGTAAGTAAACCCACACATTAAATTTAATTTGGCTCTCATTTAATTCACTTTGCTTGACATAGAAGTCAAGAAATGACTTGCATCTGATGCTGCGTGCATCTGACTGTTAAAGGGGCTGCCGGTGACTCAGGCCTGAGTCATGAGTTTAACAGGAGGCGGCGGCGTGTGAATGTGAGCTCATTATAAAGTTAGTTGTGGAGCGGGTCAGTTGTTAAAAAAAACCTGCGGGACACAAAACGCCTGAGGCACAAAGACCGAACCCAACCACAAACGTTACAAACATATATCTGACACATAACTAAAATGCACTTGGTCCCTGTGTGAAGCTTTGGAGTTATGTATATGATGATCTCATACCAGTTTGTTTACTTGTTTGTTTTTCTTTTCCTTTATTTGTGTGTTGTTGTATAACTGTTCAACAAAGCATGTTAATTGCTTAGAATTTGGTTGACAAGTAAAGCATAAAAATGTCACACATAACATATCCATGGACTTAAAAAAAATAAAAAAATAAAAAAATTGTATTTATAGTTATTTATAATTTGTATTATTTATAATATTTATTTACATTTTTAAATTCCAAAATTTATCAAAAATACAAATACTGCATATGTAGTCTCTTAATTTATACTGTATGTTAACATGAGCTCATTAAAGCTGCATGTATCATTATTAAAAAATAAATGCTGTGTAAAATAAGTCCAGATAGTTATGGTAGTTATGATTTTATGGAACGTAATGTTTTTGAGTAATGAGTTTTAAGATTAGTAACACTAAACAGTATTTTTATAGTGTCTTAAGTAAAAGTGAGTGGTGCTTCACCATGAAAAACTTGATTAGTCCCCCCCCTCTTTTTTGGCATTTATTAGTTAACTATTTCCTTGGTTGAATTGAATTATTATAGATTTTTTTTTTTTTTTTAATTGTTAAAAATAATTTCAGGTGGAGTTTAATATGTCACACTGTTCAAAAACTACATCATGTCTGTATCTGTTCTCCATGGTTGTGTGCGTGATTCAGACATTCACTGTAACTTGGTTGAATTAATTAATTAATTAATTTAACTCTTTCCCCGCTCAAAAACTCAAAAAGTTGCCAGACACCGCCAGCGGTTTTGATGATTTTCACTAAAATTTCATGGCCCCCAGAATATTTTGTTGTATGAATATCTGAACATGCAATACATCAACGTAAGGAACAGACCCTCTACTTTTAAACAAAATAAATAAATAAAATGATGTTTTATTCTAGCTTCAAGCATTCTTTTTTTTTACCAACTCTTGAATGTAGGTAGGTTTCATAAAAAAAAAGCAACATTTTGAGCAAAAAGCTGAAAAAATCGCATTTTTATCAAATATTACATCTGGATCATATTCAGTAATATTACCAAAGCAAAGATGCAGTAGATGGCTTCCATCAGCCATCTATCTCCTAAAGCTTGCACAGGCCTTTAACACTTTCTGGATCGACATTTCACTCAGTAGCATTAGGCAGTTTTCATTTATATGCGGTCAGTGTTGATGATCGCATTATTCTTCATATGCATATGCTTACATATGAGATCGCTCACTTCTGCGGCTTCCTCGTCTGTGTTTCTGATCTGCAGTTTCTAGACTCATTCAGGAGATGCGTAATAGCGCCCCGAGTGTATAACAGTGAAAACACGGAAACACGGAAAATTCTGTGTTTGGCGGGGTAAGAGTCAATGAAAGAGATGCTGTTCAGAGTAGATTGGTATGTCACTTCGCCCAAAACTATTTCATGTCTGCCCATCTGATTTTGCGCCTGTATCTCCGTGATCTGTGTTTCAGACGGCCCGCTGGAGCTCCCCGTCCTGCAGCTCATCCCGACCCAGCGGCAGCTGGTGTTTCGCGGGGACCGTCTGCCGCTGCAGTGCGCCGCCTCGTTCCTCGACCCGACTGTCAGACTGTCCTGGAGCCATGAGCAGCGTCCCGTCCACACGCTGGAGCACAGAGGGCTGTATGTGGAGGACAGCATCATCCACGACTGCTGCCTCATTACCAGGTGAGAGGGACATCATCATATGTGACCCTGCATAAGTCGCTGGGGTATATTTGTAGCAATAGCCAACAATACATTGTATGGGTCAAAATTATTGATTTTTCTTTTATGCCAAAAATCATTAGGATAAATAAAGCATAATAAAATAAATATATCAAAACTTAATTTTTGATTAGTAATATGCATTGCTAAGAACTTAATTTGGACAACTTTAAAGGCGATTTTCTCAATATTTAGATTTTTTTGCACCCTTAGATTCCAGATTTTCAAATAGTTGTATCTATTGTCCTATCCTAACAAACCATACATCAATGGAAAGCTTATGTATTCAGATAAATTCAGATAAATCTCAATTTCAAAAAATGTACCCTTATGACTGGTTTTGTGGTCCAGGGTCACATATTCTAGACACAATAATACCACTTTCCTTAGTCTGTTTTTGCTCCAACTGCTGAAATAGTTTCCAACAAACCATAGCGAATTAAATGTTGCGACAAACTGTAGTGGCGTTCCTGAATGGGTTGCCAGGTCTGCGTAAAAAAATCAGCCCATTTGTGTCACTACAACCCGGGGAAGCAGTGTAAAAGTAGCCCAAATCTTGGCAACACTGTGAGTTTATTTGAATTAATCATTTGAGTGAATGAGTCAATGAATCATTTATAAAGGCTTTTGCTTTTTTCGGTCAGAATCATGAATCAAAGAATCATGCCTTGTCCAAATACCCACACTTGCAGTCTTTGCACTTGACCACTTGACTGCTTATATGACGTATTTCCTATATTTGGCACAAGTGTTCAAGTGAGGATGAAGACCACAAATGTGTGTTGAACTTTTCATTACCTGATGAGACACAGTGTTGTAAACATGCAAGCGTTTACATAGCTTTATTTTTATTTTAAATACTTTATATTTTAAAATCAACTTCTAAATGTTTGTTCAGTAGTCCCTATTACATGACACAATTTAATTTGTGGTGCTTCTAATTAAATGATAAAAAGCAGTTGCAAATGTTGTACAAAATAAATATCACCACTACACATCTTTGCACCAATAAACGTGCAACACTTTGTTTTTCTACTAAATTATATGTAATATCTAATTATTATATTAATATTTAACTTGCATTTGAAAGGTTTCCGTGACCTCTCGCGAGATCCCAGAACATGGTGCATGATGAGATAATGGAAATAGTGTGGATTTAGTGTGCGTTAAGGGCACTGCGTTTTGTCATTTTTAAGACCTGGGACAGTCTTGCACACTTACTTCCTGTTGCACACACATGCTCTCAAGTGGCCAAGACTGCAAGTGTGAGTATTTGGACAAGGCATCGGTCAGTGTTTGAATGAATCAGCTAAGTGAATGAATCCTGAATGAATTCCTGAACGAATCGTTGAATGAAGTAGAGTCATAAAGATTATTTCGCTTATTTCATTCCTGAGTGAATCATGCTGAATTCAGAACCACATACTACTCTTACTATTTTTACCATATCCCCTATCCGCAAAGGTCTTAAATTGGAACATAATTGTTTTTAATTCATAAAATCACGGCATTAAATGTTGCATTGTTTCAAGAAATGAATATCTCTGTCAGTATTTTTTATTTGTTTTCCAATACAAGTATCTAAACATCCTTAAATCAAGATACATTTACTTGAGATACAAATTGAAGTTATGAAATCTTGTTTTCTGAGAATTTGAACAAAATTATTTTATGCTAAAAACAGAAACCGATATCTGTCAATGGGGAATGAAAACTAGTGTTCACTTTGAATTAAATACATTTTTCTGAGCCCATTGGCATATATTTGTTCTTATTTTAGTCATAAACTCATGTAATTTTGATACATTTCTCAGAAAAGTAAATACATTTCAAGTAAATATATCTATCTTTAGACATTTGCAAAATATCTAAAGAAAACCGTGGACTTGGCAACACTGTCAGGAATGGGTTGAGTGAATGAGTCAATGACGCATTCATAAAGGCAGTCACTTATATATACAGTATATATATATATATATATATATATATATATATACACACACATACACAGTGCCGTTCAAAAGTTTGGGATCAGTAAGATTTTTAATGTTTTTTAAAGATTATTCTTATGCTCATCAAGGCTACATTTATTTGATTAAAAATACAGAAAAAAATGGAATTTTGTGAAATATTATTGCAATTTAAAATAACAGTTTTCTATTTTAATATATTTTAAAATATAATTGATCCCTGTGAAGCGAAGCTGTATTTTCAGCATTATTACTCCAGTCTTCATTTTAATATGTTGATTTATTATCAGTGCTGGAAACTGTTGTGCTGCTTAATATTTTTTTGGAACCTGTGATACTTTTTTAAAGATTCTTTGATTAAGTTTAAAAAGAACAGCATTTACTTAAAATATATAGATATTTTTAAACAATATACACTACCGTTCAAAAGTTTGGGGTCAGCAGATTTTTTCTTTCTTTCTATATTTGAAAGAAATTAATACTTTTATTCAGCAAAGATGTGTTAAATTGATAAAAAGCGACAGTAAAGACTTATATTGTTAGAAAAGGTTTCTATTTTGAATAAACGCTGTTCTTTTTAACTTTTTATTCAGCAAAGAATTCCGAAAAAGGTATCAAAGGTTCCAAAATAAAAAAAAATAAAAAAATTGAAGCAGCACAACTGCTTCCAACATTGATAATAATCAGAAATGTTTCTTGAGCAGCAAAGCAGCATTTCAGGATTCTTTGATAAATAAAAAGTTAAAAAGAACAGTTTTTATTCAAAATAGAAATGTTGTGTTACAATATACACTATTCGAACGTTTGGGGTCAGTAAATGTTTTTCTTTCTTTTTTTTTTTTAAAGAAATTATTACTTTTATTAAGCAAGGATGTGTTAAATGGATAAAAAGTGATAGTAAAGCCTTATATTGTTAGAAAAGATTTCTATTTTAAATAAAAGCTGTTCTTTTTAACCTTTTTATTATTCAATGAATCAAAGAGAAAAGTATCACAGTTTCCAAAAAAATATTAAGCAGCACAACAATTTCAACACTGATAATAAATTAGCATATTAGAATGATTTCTGAAGGATCATGTGACACTGAAGACTGGAGTAATGATGCTGAAAATTCAGCGCTCCGTCACAGAAATAAATTATATTTTAAAAGTATATTAAAATAGGAAACCAATATTAGAAATTGCAATAATATTTCACAATAATACTGTTTTTCTGTATTTTTAATCAAATATATATATTTCTGTCATGACAGCTTTCGGAGATGGTAATGTGCATGACAATGTTAATGTATTTGGTCTTGGCGGAATAGATCTGCTACGCTGCTGCTGCTGCAGAGC